AAAGTGATATATATAGCTGAAATGCCATAAGTATTAAGAAAAAACCAGCGCACCATCTCAACTTCGCAAAAGTGAGAGTTTCGATGGCTTGGTGAAGATTAAATATACACAAAGAGATTAAAGTATTTTATGTACAGATTTAAATATCTGCAAAATCATTATTATAGTATCATAAAATTCTTTTCTGGAGACAAAATACAAAATAACATTTTTTTTTAACATGTAATTTAATTTTTTTCAATAACTTTTGCAATAGTTCTTTGAGTTTGAAAATCTGATAGACATATACCACCCAAAACCTGGTCTTTACATAGTTTCGCGGATTGTGGTTAAAATGGACGCTGCTTAACAGCGCTACATAAGCATGTTCAATACCAAAACATACATTTTACAAATACAAATTAATTATCAACACGTTTTATTTTATAATTTTTTCACCTTCAGATTGATTTAAAACAATTGTAAGGTATCTATTATTTCCAACTGTTTATTAAACTTTTTGATATTTTAATCAATAAGTTAAAATTGGTTTTACTTGGCGATTTGCCCCCTTTTGTGGCTTGTCCATATGTCGGTGTGTGCGTGTGTATCTGCGAGTGGCCTGTATGTGTGCGATTTGATGCTGGTGTGCGACCATCGCCGCAGCGCTTGATTAGATTTTGCCACTCACTTTTAACCCCCACCCACCAACAACCCCCCGTTTTTCACTGTGTGCGTATAACCGCAGCCACAACAACAACAACATGGGGGAAAACAACAACGCGAGTTCAGCATGGAGAGTTACATTATTTTTGTGAAAATTTGTTAAATATGCCAAACACGCAGCGATGCATGCAAAGTGGGAAAAGCAGCCAGGTGAGGAGTGCTTAGGTGTGTAGGGGAGTGTACAGGAGGGGGGAAGCCAAAGGGGTGGGGCTGGTAAGTGGGCAGTTGGGAGGAGAGGAGTGGTGCTAGCCAAGCAGGGCAAGTCCATCCAGCCGTGGCATTGCGTACGCGTTTGCTCATATTTGTGACACAAATAAGCTAAGCCAAGAGTGCGGGTTGCCAAGGGGGGAGGTGGGCTCCATGGGTGGGGTGGTGGGAGGTGGGGTACTAGGGGGTAGTTTGACTGAAGGATGCACCGGCACACTAACACACACCCTCTCGGCCGGAATGGCGGCAAATATGACCCGTTTTTATGAGCGTTGCGCGGCTGCTATTTTTGGATTTATATTTGGGGAATGATGAACCCGGTGACGATTTGTATCCAAAAAAATGTACTGACTTATTAGAACTATATTAATTTAAAAGACAATTGCAAGAATCCATATAAAAAGTTTTGGGTATCTTCTATACGGGGGTCTTTAATAAAAATTCATGACCTCATGCAGCTCAAGATGTTAAGTAATCCTTTATTTGTAGAATCGTAATAGCATTAGGATTATTTTAATGAAACAAAATTCCGGTCTTAAAAAAATTATTTTCTTTTATACGAACCTTCTTAAATCCTTTTTAATAATATGGACTTTTTAGTTGTTTATTTTTGTACCACTTTGTAAATGAATTTACTTACTTTTAATTGGTCTTACAGTACTTTTTTAAGGACAATCCACAATATCATTGGCTGACAATATTTAATAGGTATTTCTATAGTCAATATTTATTAAATACTTAGCATAACCCACTCATTACATGCAGAATCCAAATAAAAAGGGGGCGCGAATTAGGAGTGGGAAAGAAGCGTTCAGAACGCCGATGTCATGGCTCGTTCGCCCTGCATTTGGTTTCGGTTTTGGGTTCGGGGTTCGGAGTTCGGGGTTCCTGAATCTGGTCGTAGTTCTCTGGCTCAGGTTTAGGCTTGGGGTTGGGGTTCGAGTGGTCGCTCGGTTAAGTTGAGTTGCATGCAAAAATGGCCAGCGCTGGAGCAAGGAAAAATAAAGTCCAGGCTAAATGTGTGTATGGATGAAGGTTGCAGAAGTGGCCCGCACTTTATCCGTTACCCTGGCCTCCGCCGCCCCCCTTCTCTTCTGCTTTATGTTTTCAAATTAAAGTCGAAAGCGTGGCAACACTTAATGTGCGCCACTAGAAGCAGATTAGTTGCATTACCCCGAAGCCGGCTCACTGACTCGTCCATTTCCCCCCTTTTGGGTTGGCTACGGGGGAAAGAGCGCTATAACTACGAGCCAGGCTCTTTGGTCCGACATATTAATAATTTAAAACTAAAGCAATTTCGCTGGCGCGAGACTTAAAGGTAAAGTTTTCTCGCTGTCTTAGTGGTGGAGTTTAAGTTTAAATTGAATGCAGCTTAAGATTTGCGAGGGTTGATATCCAGGTAAAAATATTAAAGGAATAATTCTCTCCTGAGTGCAGTATTGGACTCTAGAGTATCGTAGAAACAAATTGGCCGAATTGGAAAGGTATAATCGTATTCTGTGTAAAATAACTATAATTTCTTCTCTTTGAGAGAGCTTTTTATATATTTGAGCTGGGGTAACAGGGTACCATTAGAAATTTAACGATAAATATTCTTAAAAATGCTTTATCTTAAATCCCTTTAAAAATGCAATACAGAATGAAATTTTTTTTATTATATAAATAAAACCTAAAATATTCTTTATCGTCCTTCAATTTAATCCGTCGATGGGGATAGGAAAAGCTTTGAATTTGCGGCTGATAGAAACTAATGAGGTCACCGTCGCGCTGAGTTTGTTTACTTTTTTCGGGAAGAGCAACTTAAATTATGGAATCGATGTGGGGGTGGATGTTTTGCCAGGGTATTGGCATTCCGCCACCGCCAAGCATCGAATTCAATGAATTTTAAAATTCCTTTTCCACTGGGTACGCTGCTGCTGACTGCGCGCAATTTCTGCTAGGATTATGATAATATAGCTCAAGTGCAGTTAGTCGATGTCGCTGCTGCAGTTGCACTTGCAGTTTGCGATAATCATAATAATAATAATGGTGCAAGTGCTTCTCCTCCTTCTCCATAATTATAGTGTGTGTGTGTGTGTGTGGGGCTTTGCATTTGATAACGCTTGGGGAAGATGATAATAATGATGATGATGATGCAGCATCAGCACTCGGAATGGCAATTGAATTGGGGGCGATAGAGAGGCAGCAGGAGGATGCTCCATCGAGTAGAAGGATGGAGCCGCATTGCAGCACGATGATGCCTCGAAATGTGGCAAGTGGCAGACCAAAATGGGGGAAAACCCGAGGCATTAGAATTCCCAGCCATTAAACTGAATTTCAACACGTCTTGCGGTTACTCCTGACTATAAAAACCCCCATAATAATAAGTCTCGAATAATATTTTTAAATACCCGACATCAGCGCAGCAAAGTCAATGACCAGAATGGCTACTAAAAATCAATTTCCACCCCATAAGCAGCTTAATTATAATTTTAATTGATTTCCAAAAACAGATTTTCAAGGGGCAGCGGTGGGCGCTTGAAATTTCTGCTCTGGCAAATTGCCGACTATAAAACATAATTTGCATTGACTAAAAATTCGCCGTTTATTGGAGCGATAAAATAATAATTTATTACAAAGAAATTTAATACGATTTTTCGGTTGCCCGTAGTTTTCTGCCAGCACAGTTAAAATTAGCAAACACTAATTTGGCTCTTTTGGGAGGAAACAGGGTTAACCTGAAAGTTTGTTTAATAAAATATTACGCTAATATGGTTCAGTAAGCCCACAACTGCAGAATAAAGATTTCAATAAAATACTTATTCAATACTGTGTCGCATCAATAACATTAAGGAATTAAAATACGTTTAATTCCATTATATCTGACTTATATTTGCAATAGCACAGAAATTTTCATTATTCCATGACTTTTCAAATAAAAATAAAAAGGGAATAAAATTCGAATTTTCCTTAATTAAGTTTTTGGGCCTAATTCAATTTCACTTTGAATACAAATATTTATATGAAAAAATAAATTGAAATATTTATGAAAATCTTTAAAGTGTTATAAACAGTTGCGGACAAAAAATCCTGCAAATGGAAATTAAATTTGCCGTATTTATTTATTTTTGCCGAGTCATACAAATTTAATCCGCTTCCAGTAATCGTCAGCACTTTAAATATATTTAAGCCAATTGATTTGCAATTTAGTTTAGTTAAAAGATAGAAAGCCCAACCAACCGAACCAATCCGCCCGCACAAACAACCACATCAAATCACACCACCCCCTCACCCTTCTGGAAAAACATTCTCAGCCAATTGCACATTCGATAACAATTAATTTGTGCAGTGCGCATTTTGCGTGCTTGTGCAAATAAATTAGTTGCCCATTTTCCTCCTCAAACGCCTCTCCTCCACACTTAGAGCCCTTTTTCATGGAAAGTGCAAATATTTGGCGAAATGTTAAATGCCTGCCAATTAGTTATCGAGTCCAGACCAGTTTCGCAGGGAGCGAGAGTTTTAATTTATGTAAAATTAATTGAGCATTGCCAAATGCTGGAATTAACTAAGCCTGGCTGAGCACACAGACTCGCCCATAAAGCCTCATTCTATCGGATTCGACCAGGCCGGACCAGTTCAAACCTGGCCCTAACCCACTTGAGTGTGGCACTTTTCAATGCCAAAACACAGAGCTCTCAACCAAGGCGAGGCCGTCCGGCATTGGGTTGGGTTACACTCGCCGATGTGGTTGAGGCTTCCGCCAGCGTTTCACGCAACGATTAATTTACCAAGGCCAAGGTCTTCGTTTGAATTGGCTTAGATTTATCTTAATTTAATATACATTTTTATCAAAACTAAATGGAAAACTATTATGCTGATCTGAAGTATTGATATGAATATTTTTGGTCACTCTAGCGCTGAATAACAATCTTCAAAATTGTACACTTATGTATTGATTTTTATGTGATAATCTATAATATCACAAATAACCAATTAAATAATTAAATTGAGTGAAATTCTATGGTTTGGCATACTGACACCTAGTTATAAATCTTCCCACATCTATCTTTTAATATGAACAATTACATTTTTTTCTTTTTCATTTGCAGAAAGAAAACTTTTTGTGGGAATGCTAAACAAGAAGCTGAACGAGAACGACGTTCGTAAACTATTTGAGGTCCACGGAGCCATCGAGGAGTGCACCGTCCTTCGGGACCAGAACGGGCAGAGCAAGGGTTGTGCCTTCGTGACATTCGCCACCAAACACGCCGCCATCTCGGCCATTAAAGTGGTGAGTACCGAATGGAAAGCAGAGTCTTGCGATTGACCAAAACTGTGAATATTTTCGTATCCCCAAAGACCCTCAGCCAGAACAAGATCATGGAGGGCTGCACATCGCCGCTGGTCGTCAAGTTCGCCGACACGCAGAAGGAGAAGGAGCAGAAGAAGATCCAGCAGATTCAGGCCAACCTATGGAACCTGGCCAGCAACATCAACATCCCGCTGGGCCAAACTGCCACCAGCGTGACCACGCCCATTCTGCCCAACCCGCCGCAGCAGCCGTCGCCGGTCCTCGGCGCCGACGCCATCACCCCGGCCTCCATCCAACTGCTGCAGCAACTACAAGCGGTTGGGCTGCAGCAGCAGCTGCTACAAGGTAAGAATAGTGTACAAATATAAATTGCTTAAAATCATCAACAGGGGTCTAGGTTTAGCTATTAGCAGACAACAATTTAAATCGAATTTGGTTGTGTGTATGCTAATTAAGTCTACAAATTAAATCATGTATATACTATTTTAAATGTATTTTTGTAATTGAAAAAGATATTAAGTAGATTTCTGCTTTGATCAAATTAAATATCTTTCTTGTTCTCTATCCGTTTTAAAAGACTAATAAATATTATTAATAATTAATATATTTAGTACATATTTTCTTTAATGAAATGTTGATATTTAATTGGTAATTGTAGTGTAATCCAATTTAATTTCCCTATAATTACTATTATTATTATTTCTGTGTTATCAGAAACACAAAATCGAAGTTTTAGAAATGTTCACATAACTTTTGTACTATTCCAAACAAATTTAAATTTCATCACCTAACGCAAAAAAAGAAAAATTGTTGAACCTGTGTCTTAAATTGTAAATGCTTTTTTTTCAAATGAAAAGTTGTTTGTTGTGAGTTTTAATCTTAATTTCAATCTTAAAGATTAATATGAAATATTCATCAATTTGGGAAATTATTTAATCGAACTAAATTTAATATTATTCCTTTGCAGCCCTCACAGGTCTGGGAGCCCAGCAGAGCAGCTCGGCGACGGACACGAGCGCCGTTGCGGCCGCCGGACTCCTGACCCCGATGACCGTCCAGAATCTGGCGGCCATCGCGGCCATGACGCAGCCGAGTCTCTCGAACGCCGCCGCCGCAGCAGCCGCTGCCTCATCGCCGGGGAGTGCCCAACTGACCAACACGGCTGCCCTGCTCTGTAAGTTTTCCCTCCTTCCTTGGTAAAAAATTTAAGCAGCTTGGATAGTTAGGGGAAAAAGAAGGGGAAATACTTGAGCGGTGCCCATGGTTAATAATTTATCCCATAAAGCCCAGCCATCAGTTGCCAGGGCTAATTATCTAATTTTTTCTCTCCTCCGTACCGAAGTTTCCTTGTGTTCACAGGGTTTTTCGGCTTCTCAGCCTGTTGCTGGTGCTTCCTTTTTAGTCTGGTTTTATATTGTTTCCTTTATCGATTTCTAATTATCTTGCGGGCTCCCAAAAATGCTGGTTATTGCTCTGGTTATTGCCTTTAATGAGTGTCAATTGGATATTGGGTTATAGGAAAGCCATCTTAGGGTGAAATAATACTTTAACAAGTGAACTTGGGGTAGATTTGTTATCTTGTCCTTAAACAAAATCCATTAATATGTGAAGAAATTTCTTTTTATTTATTTGTATAATCGTTAGTTCTGTTTCTTTCTGGCTAACTAATTTGTATTAAATGATGCATTACCCCAGTATATATATTTAGACCACCAAAATAACCAATCGATAAACTCATTAATATTCATTTGTTGTTCACCTAATTTAATTCATCAATAATGAGGTAAACTTTCCACTCGAAAAGCCCTCCCCGAAATTGCTTTTCTATTCTTGGTTTCGTTGCCAACAAATGTGTCATCATCTGACATTCAAAGTACCCAATTAGCTTAATTTAGTAAAATCCTGTGTATCCTTCCACCGTCCACTGTTCTTCTGTTATTCATACTTATCCAAGAAAGGCAAATTACTTTTATGGTCTTGTCAATCTTCATTGGAGGGGAAACTCGGAGGATATTGACTTAAAATAATAATTATTTCCTCTACAATACGGATGAATAGATTGAACTTATCGCCTGTCTTATCTAATAGGCTTCAACTGTTTCTCTTTATCCTCCTACTAACAATTATGTGTAATATTTTTTCTCACCTTTAAATTGCTTACCTAATCAATCGTATGAATATATACGGATTGAAAGCAGGCCTTTTGGGTAAAAAGGCCGCCGCCAAAAAATCAGGTGAGAGTTCTCTAGGTTTTTTCAATATTTTTAAAGTTTAATTGTTATTTTCCTAACTGTTAAAAGTTATTTACTTTATATTTGGTTATTAAATTTTATGATTGTCATTATTTAAATTCTTAATTAAAATTGTTCTCATTTTATTTTAAAATATGCTTTCAATCTATGTGGTTTGTTCTTACTAACATACAAATATATACTCTTTTCTCTATTTCAATTGAATGCAGCCAAAAAATCAGGTAAGATTGAATTGAATTGTGAAGAAATAAATTAGCTACTTTTTGAGCGGTTATGGCTCGATATACCCAATTTTTGTATGTCAAGCGGGTTCCTTTTAAATTGATATAAAATCTTCATGTTATATTAATGGTGATAATCTAAGTTTTTTGTTTCTCTAACACTTTCATAATGTTCCCCCGTTTTCCTGAGTTTACGTCACGTTCTTACTGTTGCTGTTTTCATTTTCATTTTCTCATAAAAATGTGTGTGTTATTAAGTTTGGTAGTTAAAGTCAACGAAGCATTCGACGTAACGTTCACGTGCACCGTAACGCGCTTGTTTAACGTCGCCTGCTTTACGTCACCAGTCCGTAGAGAGTTGATGGCCGTATATCTGGAGAAGGGAATCGGAGGGCCAGACTTTATCCGTAGAGGAGGGGAGACCCTACAACATACAAAATTACAAGTTACACTCTCTTGCGAAATTAACAACACGGAACTTATTGCACCAAAAGCCTCTGGAGGAGGGGGCTGGAGTTACGAGGGGATTGGGGCCTGGGAAATGAGGGATAAAGGATGAGCCAGGCAGTTTTTGCTGCACTGCTCCTTCTTGGCCTCATTGACTTTTTCGCTTTGGGGGAATTGCAATGTTTTCTGCTCTGTTCACGGTTTTCATTTCTCACTTCTTAGCTTTCCTTACAGTAACAGCTAGATACCAGAACGGAAATAGAATATTTAAGAATTAAGGTTAAGCATCTAACCGTATTAAACATCTTACAGCAGTCCACCAATTGAGAAATTGTTTTTAATAATATTTTTAAATTACGAATTAATTAATATAAACAGTTGATATTTCAAAGTATCTAAATTAAATTTTTTTTTGCTTTGATCACCACGTGCTACCACTTTAATTTTCTAACAACGTAATTTTTGTATGTTCTTCTAAATATTGATTAAAAAAAATTTTTTTTTATTATAATAACATAACTAAAAATTATGGTATTTTTTTAGTCCGAATAGTAGCAAACGCATAAGTTTGCTGAAGAATTATGGCCTGTCGCCTGCATTTTATCAAACAAAAACAGCCAGAAAATTCCACTAAAATGTAGCAAGGACAAGCCAAATAAAACACACAAAAAAAAAGATGAGAGAAAAAAAGTTTTCGGTGTGGGACTAAAGGAAACGTCATTGCCTATCTGTGGGCATCGCTGACCGTATTTTCCTCCTTTTCCACACTTACTTCTTAAATAATTTCTGAGCAAGTTTATTTCGAGAGGATCTTAGAGAGTAGACGAAAAACCCCGGTCAAATAAGAAAAAAAAATCTGTGGCTGACTTAACCAGAAAAATGCCAAAAATTAAGCGGATTTTCCGAGTCTCCCCTCCCCTCACCCATCTGCCTCTTTTGCTCTGAGCTTATCTTGTGGGGATTTTCGTGAGTTTTGGCCCTTGTGCACTTGTGCGTGCTCATCGTGTGCCACTTGAACGATTTCCGGGCACTTCATTTAATGAAATATTAAAAATTCTTTGCCCTGGGAGCGGATGGAGTCCGACAATTCGGACTCCAAGAAGATGTCCTCCGTCTCCGACATCCTTCCCCTTCAAATTGAAAAAGAAATTCAGTTCAAAGTGCAGCTGACAGCGAGGACAGCAGGGATGCGCCTATTTCTGTGTCCTTTCTCCTTTCTCATACCCAGTACTTATGGAGTATGTTGAATTTGTTCGAGTGTTTACAGCCGAAAAGAGATCAATTTAATTTCTACAGAGCCTATGAAATGGGTATCAAAACTAAGAGTTTGGTTGAGTTCACTGCACTTGTAATACACCATAAAACTTAATTGAAATACTTATATTTCATAAAGAAATTTAAATCGGAATAAAGCACCTATTTAAATATTATTTATTTTTAACGTCATCAATATAAGCTCACTGAAAACTGCAACTGATTAAATAACAATACAGAGATTTCAGAATATCTTAAAGTCGAGACCTTTTTACTAAAGCCCTTCTCGCATTATTTCCTTTTGATACTTTTCTCCTTGCTGGTCGGTTATATAAACTAAACTACAAAATCGCTTTCCAAGTTGCCACGAGTAACAAACTTTTTTTTGCCTTCGGCTTTTGCCTGCCACAAATAAAATGGACAAACAAATTGAGCTCTCGACTTTGGCCCCGCTTTGTTTGTTAGCGTAGTTCCGAATATTGTTTATGGAAAATGTATCGAAGTCAGCGTCGGGGGAATGAAAAAGTTAATTGTTTTGAGGTTAGGGCGAACAATGCGGGATATACAAATTGGTGAAGATAACAATAGGTGGATGGAAATAACACTCGGATTTTGTTTGCAGATTGAAGTTACGAGCATATAAAAACAAGTACAAATTGAATAGATGTGAAATCACATTTTGAACGAAATATATTGAAAGTTTATAAATTTAAAAAGGGTTACAAAAGGGTGTAAAACCCATTTTATTATTTTTATTGAGATGTTTAAAATTCTTGAATATAAATTTATGTGCGATATTAGACTTTAAATTATAAGTTTAAATTGTTTAGATATCTATTTTATTTATTTGTGACCAAAGCAATTCAAATTTGAAACAGATATAGATGGAATGTTGTCTCTTTTATGGGGGGTAAATCAAAAATTTAAAAAAAACTGGAAAAAACAGTTGCTTTTCTTTCCCTTACTTACTAAAGCTCAAGAGCATCCAATTCAAAGTTTTTCGAAGCGCACTCCTTCGATCCCACTTCCGAGTTGAGTAGCTAAAAAAAACAAAAGCTGAACTAAGCCAACAGCAACAACCGAAAATCTTAATCAAAGTTTGGTTGAAGTGCAGTAAACTATGTAGTTTATACTACCGACCCCAGGCCCTTCAAACTGATTTAGGGTTTCAACACGTTTCGAACTCCTTCTTTCTGTTTGCCCATTGCCTTCCTGGCGTTCTCTTTTTCGTAGCTCTCCATTACGTTTGTTTATACACTTTTTCGCTTTTTGCACTTCAAAATCAACAGCAACAATAACAATAACAGTGGGAACAAAATGTCTTCTGCCTGCAAGTGGCAAATAAGATGAAGGAGGAACTGAAAATTGTACAATTTTGTACTTGAACTCGACGAACAAATTTTCCAACTGTAAACTAAAAACTTGCAAATACAAAACAGACAACATCCGGGCCAGAAATAGTTTTAGGCAATGTTTTCGACTTCTTATGCCTTTCTTTCGGCTGTTTCTTCAATTTGGCTTGTTTGTTGTTTTTGCCGGTCAGGCCAGGCCACTCATGTGGATTATTATTGGCCAACTTAGTTAGCCAGCTCCTTGATGAGTAGTGTTCAGCAGTCCATGAATATTCCACTCTTCACTGGATGACTTTTCTTGCCTTTCTTTACGAAACTTTGAACAACAATTAAAACAAATTTCGGTGCAAATATGTGCAAAACTTTTCGCTTACAGGCTTCTGCAAATTGACCATGTTTTTATTTCTTATTTTTCTGCTTGCCTTTGCCATGTGTGTTTAAATCAGTATGGTGGTCTGTTTGATTACAATTCTGTAGAGCAATTAAATAAATAAATCACACAGAGAAATCAAGCTGTTTTTTTAATAAAATGTAATTATTTAAATTTGGAACTTTGAATTTGAATTTTAGTTATACTATGATGACATTAAATCTTTATTAATTATAAAGTACTCCCATTGATTTGTTACTGGAACCATTTTGCACATGGAAAACTTCGGTAGTTGCAGTCGCATAATCGACCACACTGCTACATTTTCGCACACACACACAATGTTTTGCAAAACTCATTAATAACGGCGATCATAGACGGCGCCAAAGGGGAGTAAAAAGGGCGAAGTGGGAGTGGCGGTCAGGGGCGGATCGAAAACCACAAAATTGCATTGCATGACGGCCAATGGCGAAACACGCAAAACAACTAAATAACAAACAACAGGCGTCAAATTACACAAAACCCGAAACCAGAACACAACCAACATTGCACAGAGACAAATTAATTTCAGATTGGCTATTGCGGATGTCGTGTGTGTGCTTTGTAAAATAATCAAATGTCACCCCGCGTCGCAGCGCACAAAATTTGATGATTAATTACGTCTGACGAAACGAAACCAACTAAATAATAATTATACAGTAAAATCCGAGGTAATGCACATTGCGGCAAACTAGGTTTGTGAGTTACAAAATGTGCTGAAATTCAATATTTGATTTTGCCAAAAATTGGAAAAAAAATTTAAACTATTGGGGGTGTACAAAAATCTTGAAAAAAAAAATATTTAATTTTTACATTTTTTAAATGGTTGTTACTTTTAAGAAAGTATATCTAAACAGGACCACTTCAAGACCTTGCTCATACTGTCCAAGCCATACTTATAAGTTTTTAAAGTTATTTACGCCCAAAAAATTCAAAATTTGCTACTGCTTGACCCTAACTAAAATATGTTTTCTTCTTTCCCCTGCTCCTGCATCTATATAGGGTCCGATCCGAATCCATTGGCATCGGCATATATGTCAACAGCCGCCGGTCTACCGCAATTTGGCAGCGCCAGTGCATTGTCCACTTCGCCGCTGGCCAGCGTCGCCCTCAGTGCCGCAGCTGCCGCCGCAGCGGGAAAGCAGATCGAAGGTGAGTAACCCACTACATAAACACTGAAAAAAATATATATTTTTACTGACCATTGATTTTTTTATTGATAATAAGACAAGATAAATACAAAATTTCGTTATCAACAAAGTAGTTCATCCGACGACATGACAAATTTAGGATAAAATCCAATTTACACTACTACAAACAAAATTTTTTATTTCAATATAATCCTTTCTTCATTTCTAACAGTTTAATCGGATATATTATAATTTGGTAGGCCATCAGAGTGGTTTTGAAGTGTCTGAAAGGACACGCACACGTTAGGAATAGAAATGTCTATATGCCTGTGCCATTTTGATAAATGTAGCGAAATGTCCGAATGAATGCTGCTGCGGTTGTGTCAGTCCAATACCAAATCGTTCGTTCGGCACTTAATCCTTCTTCGTTAGCATAAGGTAGCACTTTTAATACTCTTTAGGTGGAAATTAATTCAACTTAAAATTTGGGATATAAACATCTTACTATCAAACTTTTTTAAAATTTGTATTAAAATTACGTCATTAAAGTAGACAAAATTTCAAATTTTCAATTTTAATGGTTAGGGTACATAAACATTCGATGGTCCCTGTACCATTTTCTCAGTTCCAATTGTATTTGTTTCTGCTGCTGATGCAACATCGCATGCATTAACCCGCTCATTGCTGTCAGCGTCATTCGCTCGTGATGCGGTTATTTTTTGCATCCATTTTTACTATTTTCTGTTCGTTGCCCCTGCATTATTTCCAACCCCTTCCCAGCATTTCCCGCCCTCCTTCTCTTTCCGAATCCCACTTGACATGGACATTTTGTGGATGTCTGTCTAATCTACTTAGTTTTAGTTGTGCCATTGTTCTCGTCAGTTTTATTGTGGCGGAGGAAAGGGGCCCTATTTTTATATGAAAAGTCATCTATCAAATGTTATGCAGCTGGATAAAGGATAGCATTCGGAATGAGATAAATGCAGAACGTCAGTTGGGTATTTCCACTACTTCAAGAGTGGTCCAAGCTGATTTTCGAGCCCCTACAAATCAAATCCACCAACATTTTAACCATCTTACAAGAATTTCAATCTCCTCTGCCACGCCCCCTAGAATGTGTGCTCGAAGTGCCTCTAATCCGCAATCGAATGTCTTCTGCTGACACAAATCCTTCAATGCCATAAGCCAATGCCTGGGAGAGATGTAGCAAAAATCAATAAGATCAATCATCTTGTATCCTTCACTGCTGCTTCCCAACTTTCTATCTCTCACTCGCTAAGGAGAATTTATGAGGAGCGTTTTGGTGGGGCTTAAATTTTTATCAGCTCCCGACACAGTGTAAATATTACACACACTTGACACACAATTCCATTAGTCAGACGTCGCTGTCGATATCGGGAAATATGGCAACTGAACATTTCTTTTTCCCCCACTGTGGTTTTGGGTGGCCTGGGTGTGTACTTTGGCACACATAACATTAAAGTTGCAGCAGGAGATATTCGAAATGTTGGGGAAAATGCAACGGGAAATGTTTTGGCATTGCACTTTTTGCTATATTTCCGGTTACATAAGCAAACATCCTTTGAGTGGATGGGAGTGCCGGGGGTGCTTCAGCTGATGTGTATGTGCAGAGGGAGAAATTAGCATTCAAATGTATTCCTTATTTGATGAAATGTAAAGTATTATAAATTAAATTGTGCGAGTATCCGGGTGGGTATTTTTTAATTACTTTCTTAAAAACAATTGAAAGATACTTGTAAAACCTGAAATAATAAAGTCAAATGTAGTTTTGATATAAAGTATTATCGCTTAGCATTTCGTTTAACCTTTGAAAATTTATAAAAATCTATAAAATCTCATTGAATTAGTGAGTCCTCAAATTGGTTTTCAATCTAGAAGGAATCTCGTGACCCTGAAATTTATTTTTGAATTGAGGAGATATGAAACTTCTGTACTTATATTCTCCCTCTGTATGTTATGCACCATATAGTGAGATATATTTTTGCAGTTGAGTGACTCGCTGGCCCTTCGCCTCCTCGCCTTCATCTTCGTCTCCACTAAATCCCCCACTGTTGTTGCTTCGTCCTTTCTGCGACTCCTTGTTTGCTCTGCTGACTCATGACGTCGCCGAAAATTCCCTCCTGACCAACTGCAACAACAACCATCCAGGGGACGGAGGGTCACAGTCCTGAGGAAGCGAGGACTGTGTGCCACTGTCTGTGGAAGCACAACAAATTGCTCTTGCTAGCCAAAATGCGAAATGTGAGCTGCCATGCTTTCCTTTGCTTGGTTGGGTTGTGAAAAACTATCATAGATGGCTTGGACTGGACTTGCTTAAATGGAAGCTGACCTAAAAGGGGGAATGCAAGGTCTAAGCTCTGTATAATTATTGGATGAGATAAGGAGATTGCCGAGGGAAGTGGTTAATGGGTAATTGACTTTGATTTGACAGTATTTATAAAACTGGGAATTTCTACACGTATTGAACTTTGTTTATAAGAGACAAAAAAGGTTTCGTTTTAAAAGTGTGTAGCCTCTGCAAGTAAATTTAAAGTAAATATATATATATGAAAAAAAAGTTCCTAAATTTAAAAAAAAATTTTTTTTAGTTTATACTTGATTTTATTTAATTTCCTATTCTTAGCTTTAAATTTTTTTCTAAAAATGTGTTATACAAAATAGCATTGGATTTGCGAGATCAGTGTCTTCTTTTCATGAATAAAGTTCTATTTTTCAAAATATTAGCGAAAGAATCGTTTTTTTACCATAAAAATTCGTCCTTAATAACCAAATTGGTTAATTTAACTTGAAATTAAAATATACTAGTCACTATTTGAAAACAACAGGATGATAACAGGATGAGTTGGAAAATAATATTATACAAATTATAAAGAGCCATTTGTATAATATAATAAAATATGTATATTTGCAGAAAATTTCCAATTTACTTTTCTTTACTTAGTAAACTAGTCCTATTAAATCCTGAACAACATTTGATCGGCTTTTTTGTTTGATTAAATATCATTGAACTTCTTGGGTAGTGAGAAAAAATATGCTCAAAAAATCCTAAAAACTGTCAGATTTATGCAATCTGGGTTCGGGATAAAGCCAGGAAAAACTGCAGTAACAATGTCTAGGGCAGATAAATTCTCAACATGTGAAATTTATCAAATGACGACAGCTCCACAACAGAAAGAGGAAGAGGACGATAGTGGGAGTTTAAGAAGATAAAGGGGGTTGGGAGCAGGAAACAACTTATGGGCATGTAGACAGGGCCAGACGACAGCACAAAATTAAGCAGGAAACAGAGAAAAAGCAGCAAAATAAAATAAATATAAAAATATGAAAAATATGTTGTAAAATATAAAAAAAGAGTAGCGGCACAGAACTATGCTTTAAGGGATCAAGAGGGCGGGAACTCGGGTTGAGAAAGGAACGGAAGGAAGGCTACAAATATGGCAGTGACAGACGATGGGAATCCCCCGCCTCCATCATCGCATGGGTGACCCTAAGGCGGCAGCGGTCGCCTCTCCTTCCGGCTGCATCCGGATTAAAGTCATGTGCATAAGCCGGAAGTTGGAATAAAAAATAAGCAAATGTTGTGTGTGGGTGCAGAAATAAGAAGGAGGGGAGAGGTCGACCCGAGAAGCAGAGAAGATAACCAGCTACGTCGCGAATTTGCGACTTATGTGCTGGGAGGAGCGTGGAATTATTATAAAGGGGATGTGCCTGTAAGTGAGTGCTTATAAGAAAGGGAATAAAGAGTTAAAAAAACGGATTTTTTACAAAAGCATTTAACAAACAAAATTCTTCTTATTCAAAAACTTAGTAAAAAAATTCAACAAACCAACCCTTCTTTGACAACATATTTAAAGAAATATTCAACCAGATATCCCAAAACTTATTCCAAATTATGCTTACCAAGATTTCCACAACTTCATTAACAAGATATTAAATAACATTTAAAAAAAAAAATATATATATTCAACTATATATTCATTAACATATTCAACAAAATAAGAACAAAATAAGAACGAATGTTTGTACCATAATTTCTCTCAGTTCAGCTTCATGCATAAGTCGCATTAAAATCAATAAAGAAACTCAGATATATGTGCAGGCAAAACTGGAACTGTAGCTTATGTGCCATAGATTCCATTTAGCTTCCTTCCGCCTCGGTCGTGCCCTTGAGAGGAATAGGAAAATAAAGGAAGACTTTCCCCAGCGCACTTCGGTGAGCGCGACAGCCAAGAAAATGGCAAAAAATGTTGGCTTCCACTGCGAAGGGAGAGGGAATGTGCATCTGCAACTAACATCTCCTTTCATGCCCCTCCAGAATCCAAGTGCATCAATAGCGAAAAGGGCAGGCGACATTGCCAAGGCGGATGGCGCATCTTTGCTCGGCGGAAGAGGAAAATGCAATATAGGAAATCGTTTTTCGCACACTGAAAAATTCCAACCGAAGAAAAAAAGGAAGGAGAGTTGAGAAAAACAAAACAGGAAGTTTATTTTAAATGTCCAGAGCAATGGAGAGGGGAAATTTTTGGCGAATTCCAAGAAGTTACACATTTCTGGTTACCAAAATGGGTGGAAAACATTTTGCGGTTGACAGCTAACCGAATTTATAGAAAGTTTAGTAAAACCAGGATGGATGTGGATTTAGTTTTGAATATAAATTTGAAGGTAACGCGAATGATTTACTGAAAAATATGGTTTAGCATGGAGTCATAATAAATACCTAACAGTACTCCTTTAATCTAAGGTGTGTTCAATTTTAGACTGATAATAACTTGAAAACCTTATTATATATTTGATTAAGAACCTATATTAGATAATACATTTATGTTTCTTTTCAAAATAAGATTCTTATAGTTTAGTCCTTCATTAAATTTAATGTAATATCATACACAAGCTCAAAAAGTAAATCAAAAACACAACAAACTTAATCAACCAATGTATTCTGCAGACATAGTAACGAAATTCTTAAAATTTCTTCGAATGAATGAAATTCTGGTCTTTATGATGGCTACCTTTTTCTCCATCCCCTTGAAACCTTTCCAGAAAATTGCCGAGTGCCATTCAAAATTGTTGCCTTAATTTGTTGCCTTGGGAACATTTCGTGCCTGCTCTCACATTTGTCCTTTCATCTAATTATATATCGTGTCGGGCCACACGTGTCGCTTGTTAGTCGCGTAATTCAATAGCTTGAAGTATTTTTAATTGGACTTTTTACTCCCCCTTTGCCCCTCCTCGCTCGGGCCTAAATAAATTGATGGGTGTGTGTGCCAAATTACAAAGCAACAAGTGCATCACGAGCCCCGAGTCAATTAATATTAAAATCCTGGCGACGTCAACGGCTTGTGAGTGAAGGAGATGCCGCCGGAGGACCAGCTTTCTTCGCCATTCAATTTGGCTCCATTTTGTAATCGCATCAGCGTCGGGCAATCTGTCAGCAGTCAGTTTACCTTGAGTGGAGGAGTGGGTGGATTGGGGAGGAACCTACTGGGATTGCAGGCCTACTGTGGCCAACTCATACATCAAGGTGATCAATAGCAGTGCTTCTGGCAAACGATGATGGAGTGAGAGTTATGGAGGTGGTTGTGGTTGTAGGTGGTGGATCGTGGATGCTGTCCTGGAAGCACTACAAACTTATCCGATTTCAACCAATGTGAATCTCAGCGTGTGTCCGGGAACACATTAAACAGAGGGGAAGTTTGCTTTAATGATTACTGCGACATTGTTCGAAAATTTCTATTCAAATGTTAAATTTATAATTCAGAAAGTTAATCATCATTTTGGTAGCATACTTTTCTGGGATAGCAATACTATTATTCTCATAATCATATGTTATGTTCGTTTTGTTCCAATTATTTATAATATAATATAATGGAAAAAATATCTTCTATTAATTATAATTAAAGTGAGAGAATAGAGTTTCATTATTCAGCTACCTTTTATATATTCCGGATATTTTAGATGGCAGAACCTTATCATGTGTTTCTTAACCATATGTGTTTTCCCTGCTTTTTGTTTCCGTTGTTTGATTTTTTGTGTTTCAGTCTGATAAAATTGAAAGACCGCAAAATGCCAGATGCTATTCGAAGCGTTTTGCTGTCATTAAAAAGCGTCGCGAAAGTGAAAACGCGACTGCTGACGCAGCTTTCACCACCCCTCTCTTTTCATCGCCCCGCTGTCCGTCTCTGTCTATCTGCTCACTCCATCTCGCTCTATCTGAGCTAGTTGCTTGGGATTTTGGATGCTGGTGGGTTGTATTACTGCTGACTGCTGACTGCTCATTGCCAGTGACGTTGACAGTAATTTGCACGAAAAGTGCAACCGCAGCACGAGGCGCGAGCCACGTTAATGTGCGTGCGACAGGGACAGGGCCACATGAGCGACAGGGACGGAGCGAAGATGGTAATGCCGGGAATGGCGATGATAATGCCCCAGAAGATAATGATGACGATGTCAGCAGTAGCAGTAGCACGTGCTGCTAAACAAAGTGTCACACCCACACACGTAACGCCGTCAGATGACGGGCGCAAAAGAGATGGCGGACAAGTGCGAAAGAGACAGATACAGGGCATCGGGAGTTGGGCACATCATATCCGCTTCCGTTTTGGCAATCAGCTGCTACTGGCGAGGATTCCCCCTTTCCTTAAACACCGCCACTGGACCTATATAATTTCAGTCTTTGTCCGCTCAACTTTCCGTCTCTATTCTGTGGTTTGGTGGGTGGAAATTTGGGAGGGTTACGAGGAAATGGAGACCGTGAGTGGGTGGGTGCAACTAGTTAATTAATTGCTTGCTGCAAGGTGAGGCTACAAAGCAGGCTATCAGCAGCTGAAACTTTAAACTGTATGAAATGAAGGTACAGCTCGATCATAAGATAGGTATGGGAATATGAAAATGTATTTTATTTTTAATTTGTAGGATTGCGTTCTAGACCAAATTTAAACTTGTTATTACTATTAATAGGACTATTTTAAGGTGGGATACAAATTATTTGTAAAAAATGAAAAAAATATAAACGTTCAAATGACTTACTGGTTAAAAACTATTTGTAATTAATCTTAAATTTTCTCCACAAAGTATGATCGCAAATAAATGTTGGATATTGCTCTAATTTCTTTCAGGACCCGAAGGCTGCAACCTATTCATCTACCATCTGCCGCAGGAGTTCACCGACACGGATCTGGCCTCCACGTTCCTGCCCTTCGGCAATGTGATCTCGGCCAAGGTGTTCATCGACAAGCAGACTAGTCTGTCGAAGTGCTTCGGCTTTGTGTCGTTCGACAATCCGGACTCGGCCCAGGTGGCCATCAAGGCGATGAACGGCTTCCAGGTTGGCACCAAGCGCCTCAAGGTGCAGCTGAAGAAGCCCAAGGACTCCAAGCCCTATTAAAGGGCACTGCTGGAGGACTTCGACCAACAGCAGCAAGGTTATCCGGACGCCGAGTAGAGGAGTACTGAGATTTGTGAAATATGGAGTAGTCAATGAATGAAGAGTTGCCCGTGTAGAACGCGCGCGTTTCAAGAGTAAACGATGATGCGAATGCCAACGTTGTACGTATCATGAAAAACCAAATACAAGAGCAGAAAAAGACATGAAATCTGTGCCAAAAGAGACAGAATCACTTATGATTTAGCACGTTAAATGTTGAATTGAAAAAAAAAACCAAAAACACAAAAAAATTAAACGAATAATACAACTTTTAGACCTTAGTTTAGTTAACTTTCTGTTGAAGTTTCCTTCAACCCCAATCTTTTACGACTTGTTTTCTTACTTTTACACTGTCGTACGAATTGGTTGATCCATATCTTTTTTATTACATATTTTGTACACATTTTCATGACTCACAAACGAAACTAAAAAATAAAATCGAAAAAAATAAATACAAAGATCTGTTCGAGTGTTAGTTTATAAGTTTTTGATATATCTCATAATTTTATACTCACTCTTTATCTGTTTGATTTGTTCATCTCTCATGTTGCAAGTCACAATGAAGTTCTTTATTATAAATATATACCCACATGATATATATTCTAGATATAGTTACAAGTTACTCGTTTTGTTCAATGGATTATCTCTTTTTATATATATCTACATTTATGCAAATGCGCATAATTAGTTTTTAGTCATCTGATTTGTTACTCCCAAAACTAACTTTTTTTATTTGTACTGAAAAGAAAATGTTTTTTGCTAACACAATGCTATTATTATTATAATTAGTTAAACAAACAAATTCACATACGCTTCTCATTGTTAATTATGCGATTTGTAAAGTACTATGCATAAAAAGCCAAAAAACCAAATGAAATTAACAAAAACTGAAAAAATTTGTTATTTATGTTGAAGTCTCATCAATGGAGTTTATTATATTATTTTTTTAGTTTCTATCATTCGCTACATCATCCAAATTTGCACAAATCTGGTATTATATTATTATATATTATTCATTTCGTTGTAAACTATTTGTTTTAGTTGAAGTTTATTTGGCTTTCTGTCGTCGCACATCTTTGAAGTAGATAAGTGCCTAATGTAGCATACTTTGTTTATGTAAAAAATATCATGCACATATGTGAACTCTTCATACCAACAGCATACATATCTAAATAAAGTTTTGTTCTCTGTTTCAAATGCACAAAAAATATTTTTATATATTTGTATTTTTGGTTAATAATACAAGGTAATTCTTTGTGATTTATGTTTATTTATAAGATCACTTTAAACTTGAATTTAACAAAGCTTTTAGCATCTATTTTTATTATTTTCAGTGATTTTTCAAAGATAATTGGTCTCTACACACTTCAACACAACCTTATGTGTACCATATTTAATAATAAACTAATGAATACAACTTTTTTTTATCTTCAGTTGATATGTTGACGTTTGCCAGAGTTTCGCCATTAATTTTATTTTTGGAAAGGCAAAGTCAAATGGTAGTGGATTCAAGCCGCCGATTTAAAGGTAAGTTCAACCCCTGCCTTTTGTGTCTTGCTTTACAATTTTCTAATTTGTGTCTCTCGTTTCAGTTGTATGCAAATCGTTTTTAGAAGACGCATAGGTCCCTGAAACTTGTAAATATTATCCGCTTGAGTCTCGAGAATCCTAAGAATAAATGCCTATTCCACTGCTGTCGCATACAAATTTCCAAGAACTGTACATTTTAATACACAAAACATATTGGAAAACCTGTAAAAAAAAGAACATGCAAACATATTGTACGATAGCCAAGAAAAGCCATTTTATAAGCTTGTAAAGCAAACTAATTTTAAAGAAGTAAATTTATAAAAATAAACTGAATATCTGAGTTCCAATTTGTGGTCAAATTAAATAAATTGGTTTTGTAGCTGAACAAAGGCATTGACAAATCAGATGGAAATATTAGCGAAATTATTTTCGGTTTTTAAAAAAGTTTTCAAATTGAACAAAAGGCTTTGTTTCAAGTAGAGTTTAAGCTGTGTGCATTTTATACAAACTATCTGGATGTGGCTTTAAATTAAACATTATTTCAACGCAGATATAAGCATTCACGTTAGAAGTAAGCTTAATAACATGAAAAGTGTTCTGTGTGTAATTAAATGTGTAATTAATAATTAGGTGATAAGTGTAATTTTTTAGAGAAACAAAGCAAGGCTGTGTGTTCTGACTAGATATTAAGCGGATTTCACTTTCAAATGAAATGATATTGCAATTTAGTGTGAATGCAGAAAGAAAATATTAGTTTTGAAAAACGCAGAAAATATTTGCGAAGGCTATAATAAGGCAGTCAACAGCGAGAACGTAATTCTAGTGATAAAACGCAGTTATTTAAGCGAACGGATTATATGTATTTATTAAGTCTAAAGTGTATATTGCTACAAATCACACCCCACACAATCACACATCAGCATCCAAACAGAATAAGTAAATCAATAAAAGGTGTCATGATTTTTATTAAAAAAGGAGTACGAGTTTTTTCTTGCGCAAACTGACGCTGGATAATTTATCAAAAAGTGTCTTAAGCCAAAAAACTTTGCGAGAAAAACTTTCAGCCAAGGCAAGTCAAGAAAAATGAACGGAAAACATACAAAATGTTGACGACTGCGAGAGTTACTAAAGGAAAACTTCAACAATAAACGAAATATTTTGCTAAACTTGCGATTTGCATATGAGAAACTTTATGCCAATTGTGGAGCTGTTGGGGGCGGGCTACCCGAGTCGGAATTCTAAGCCAAGGGTGCGAGGGACCCGGCAGGACGTGTAAACAAATTTACCAACTACGTGACGCAGCAGTTCGTTTTGCTCTTCTCCAGGTCTTGCATAATCCAAATCCAAGTCGAGTCTTAACGCAAGATTTATTCCCATTTAAATCATGCGTGGAAAAGTTTTCCTCAGCTTCTGTCGACAGCAGATGCCAACGGGACGGGGATGGAGCTTCTACGGCAATAATTTCGTCTTGGAATATTCAAATATTTTGGCATTTGATTAAGCCAAAAAGTTTTTGGCATTCCTCTAGTAAAATCCCAAAGGATAAACGCTGCAACAATGGTAAGAAGGGGAAAATTGATTGTTGGCATCCGATAATCGGCTCATTGATCTGGGTGGCTCATGAAAATGTGTTGATGAATCTGCGATGCCAATGGTAGATTCATTCTTATGCTTGGGCTACTAAGTTTCAAAAAGTAAGAAATTGGGTTATTGATTCAATAATAAAACCTGCAAGTGCCATTTCGCTATACGTTTTCCGAAACGTTTATATACCATTTGTAAGTGTCAAGATATATAAAAAATCGACATATGATATTGAAAATGGAGAAGATAACTTACATACTGACTCTTCCTTATTTTAGTATAACTATGTATATAGTGATTTAAACTTATTGTTCAATATATATTAAAAGATTTACAAGTGTGAAATTTTGTTTAAAACTCAGGCAATTATCAGAAATGTTCCAAAAATATTACACGTTTAAATCTTGCAAAGCCCGGTAATTGAGTTTCCATCGGTAGACCCTTGTAAACGACTCGTTGGACTAGGACAACATTTCCCTGGAATTCTCTCAATTAACGCTTAATCGAAATCCCTTCCGCTTCCATCTCCATCAGTTTCTGGTTAACAATTTGCCAACGTTTGATGAGATCTTTTGTCATGCTCCACTGGACAAATCGCTATTTAGGCCACTAAATTTGAGCCGCATCAACGAAGCGCGTTTCATCCACGAGCCTGTGGGATTGCTTGGACATGCAGGATGTATTCCAATCTAGACGTGAACATGAACCATGAACACGGACAGGGACACGAACCCGAACACTAACACGGTCATGAACAATATGGGCGAGGCTTGGGAGAGCGTTGCTGGGGAAATCGAAGCAGATTAGCAAAGTTTGTAATTACGTTGGTAATTGATTAGGTTCGAACAACAAACTGCTAATAAGATTATTGCAGTTGAGAACAAACCGAGCTGAAAAAACAAAAACCCAGGCCCACGCCCGCAGCCCTCCGATCCGCCAAATTATCCTCCAACTCTGCCAGTGAAAGAGATGCGGGGAGCAGAGTGGGGGACCAAAATTGAAGCGATTTGTGGCACAAGTTCTACATGCAGTCAGAAAAAAGTTTTACTGAAATAATAATAAATAAATAAACTGATATTAGTTACTAGTAGATAATACATTTTTTTTTATTTTACTTATATAGCAACAATGTGTGTGTGAGCCTTGTTAAAAGGGGCAAAGCGTGTAATTTAAAAGAAGGTTAACAATATACCTTCCAAGTATATATTTGATGATTCGAGTGTACTTAGCAGCATCCTTTCAGGACAACCCAATCCCGTCCTCCGCCCTAACATCCGCTGTTTGTTTGCAAAATTTGCCCAGCAGGGGGCGGGAGGGGCGTGGCTTGGGCCACAGTAAGCTCACGCAAGCCGGAAGAACAACAATCGACCACCGAAATAACAATGGATTTGGCGCGTTTGCCCGTTTTTGGCATTGGTCGTATTGTTAATGGCATTGCACGCACATCGATGGGGATCCCCGAATTCAAGGGAAGGGGAAATGGGATAGGGACTGGGTGCAGCATCGCAGATACAAGCGCAAACACACAAAAGACAAACAATTTAGCGGCGTTGCAATGTGGACAGACAATCTGTGGCCAAAAAGATGGTGTGCAAAACCAAAGTTGAAGGAGTGACATGGAGAGGGAGGCCAACTAACTAAGCCGATTGCTAATAGGTTTCGCACAGTGAAAATAAAACAATTACAAAACAAAGTCACACTAAAATTATAATTAAACAAATTTTTATTTTTAAATATTATCTTGTTCTAAATTACAAACAATAATATTGAAGACAATCAACTGATTTTGTGTTTACCTTTAGAAGTACCTTACTCGAATTCGATTTGGATCAGTTTTTCACGAAGTATAGAAAACTTTGTAGCAATATATTTTTATCATTTGAAAGGAAATTAGATAACCAAAACAGGTCTTTTAATTTCTACACCCGTTACTCGTAGAGTATTGTATTGGTTGAAAAGTAGGTACCATGTAGGAGGAAGTGCTAATTATTCTTCATCAGGATGATTGTTATAGCCATGTCCGTCCGTTTGAACGTTGATATTTAGAAAACAATAAGAGCTGATAGTTTGAGTGTCATGTGTACATGTGAGGTTAGTGACACAGAATATATAATTTATTGGTTAACTGGTAGCGATAACGTATATACATTCAGAATTTATTCTGTGAGCTTTACCGATTGTTACAGCTGGTTAACAACTGGATATATATTTAAGATTTATGCTGGAGCTTAACAGTTAGTTGTAACTTGTAAAATAATGGTTATATGTTTAGGTTTTTAGTTTGGGGTCATACAACTTGATTTCTAATAGTTAAACATTCCCAGCTAAACATATTAGTATACAATAATTAAATTGAATTGTTTTTAAACCTGATTTTATTATTTTTTTTTAACAGAAAACCCAGTTTGTTTTTATCTATTCTGTTGTTTTAGAAGTTATTTTAAAATGCTTTAATCTTTGAAATGGGTACTAATGCCACTTTGTTACGTGTGCTATACTTGACACGAAGATAATAAAACTGCCCATTTTAGAAAGAATAATAGGTTCGTAATATTTTGTGCGCAGCTCGTGTTATTCACCCAGAAAAAATAGTGTAGCTCCTGAACGGTTTCTTACTTCGAGCAACCTGAATGTGGCAAGACAAACGTTTGGCCTGGCAAATCAGTCAAGAGCCCCTTTGCTTTTCCAACTGGTCATCCATTCCTTCGGTGTTCGGACGACCGGACATCACCGCAACCGATCGGCTTCCAAGCTGCCGCCTCAACCCGACTTCATAGGGAGCGACAACAGCTGATTAAAATCCTTGGCAGTCCGTTTCCTGTTCCCATCGCATCCTGCCCGTCATCGTCATCGATCACACTCCAAATCGAACTCGAATTGCCATCGCATACGCACACAAGCTCACAATGCACTGAAAAAAAAACACAGCTTCAGAATAATAAGTGTTATCTCAAATGTAGCTGTAAGTACCTACAAATAGGATATAAAGGATTTAGATTGTACATTTTCCTGATCTTATTTTTTCTAATTTGTATTACAAATATGTATTTTTAAAATTTTGTTTTCTATTTTTCGTAAATTAGAAGC